TTTTTCGAATATAAGATAAAGCGAAGTTTTGCTATCGAAAAAATGGGTTTTTCATCTAGAATATTTATACAACTGCATCTTAAATTCACTGTAAAGTGATATTTTTAATTTTTACATACCTTACTCTTAAATACAATCAAGTTCCCTTCGAAGATTAATTTTTGGTATACGCAAAGCATATTGAACCGCTAGTAGCAGTAGAGCAGCTGTTGCACATTAAAATTAGATCAAATTGATACGAATAATAAAAATGTAGTAGCGATACTTCTGTATGACACGTAGATCATGGATCCACAGTCTTGCTCCTAAAGTTCATATGGAAACCTTCCGCCAGCTTGGATTTTAGGTTTTTTTAAGTGTCTTGCGATTTGCAAGCTTATTTTGGACTTTTCGTCAAAAATGGTTGAATACAAATTTGTAGAGAATTTAATTTTCCACCTTTTTTGTATAGAAAGTTAAAAAAAAAACATTTTTTTTTAATAAAATTCCTAAAATTCTGTAGGACGTATTACAAAGGTTAAGGTCTTAAAATTATCACATTGAAAACAGTGTGGCCTTTTGAAAAATTCAACATGGCGTCTAAACTAACCGTAAATTAGATTATGCTTTATAAATATTGTGCCACCGGAAAACCCAGCACTAAAAAAGAAAAAGTAACAGCAGATTCTTATATAACCTAGAGCATGATTTTAAAAACTTACAAGTAATTTTTAAGCATAAAACAAAACCGACTTCAATTCTCATACAAAAATTTAAGATTATCGTTAATTTCTTCATGATCCAATGATCGGATTTAACCCAAATTAGTATGGGACCACATGTGTGGTAACACCTTTCTTTAAAAAAAAAAATAATTATAGAAATCGGTTAATGTGGTCCAAAGTTATGCGGTAACATACATAAAAAAAAGAAAATATTCCGACGAACTGATAACCTTCTCCCTTTTGTGAAGTCGATTAGAAATGGTGAATCAAATATGGCGGCCAAAAAATTAGAAAAGTCTCTTTCCTCTGAGGTTTTTGTGCCGCTTATTACGAATCTGAGGTCAGGTCGGAAAAACTCAAAATTGCGGAGCGAATTTGGCAGCAAAAAAACTAAAGTCTACCATTTATCACGGAAAAAGTTGAAATGAGTAACATGTAACAGTAAGAATCTGATCTGATTTTAGATTCATAATCAGAGATCTTCAGAACCCTTGATTGTAAAATTTTCGCCTTAATGGATCTGTCATTTTGAGTTTAACCAATCTAACCTCAGATTCGAAATTGGAAGGCAAGGTTAAGATTTTTAGCAACTTACGAAAAAAATAAGAACCGTTTTTTTTTTCAAATCGGATAACTTGAAAACCGATTTTGGAAAAAGTGGAATCATCGAACACCCTATTAAGTATGTATACATATATTTATGTTCTTTGTTCCCTAATAACCTTAACCTAGAATACCACGTTAAATATACATAGTTTATTAACTTTTAATCTTTCCTTATCTTCAGGATAAATAGATACATACCTACTAAACCAATTATGTATTATGTATTTTATTGTAGCCCCTACTTTTCTTTAAAATTGTCTTTAGTTGAGTGTGGTGTGAGGTATGTACAGTCACTCACAGAAGTATTCGTAATTTAGTTTTTTCACAATATTCAAAATGTTTTCCATCATAAATCTTTTTCGTTAATTTTCATTTAAAATATAGCTAATTCTATAACAAAAACCATATAAATCGTTCTTGCAAACTTTGTTCAAAATTCATAAAAATGAATCGAACTTAAAAAAAAGTTCATCAAAATTTCAAACTTTTTATTTAGAATTTAAAAAAAAATTTCTGTATGCAGTTTTGTAGCCCGTTCAATTTTATTGTAATAAAGTGCAAGTTTCAAAGTAGCTAAAAATTACCGCTGATTTTTTAGATTTTTTTTTGTCGAGGGTGTTGCGCATTTGTTTCCATATAAGGCTTGAACAAATCTAAAATTTTTTTAAAAATTCAAAATAAAAAGTTTGAAATTTTGATGAACATTTTTTAAGTTTGATTCATTTTTATGAATTTCGTACAAAGTTTGCAAGAATGATTTATATGGTTTTTGTTAAAGAATGAGCTATATTTTAAATGACATTTTGAATATTGTGAAAAAACTAATTTACGAATACTTACGTGAGTGACTGTATGTATGTACATAGGTCCACTGGGTTATGTGGCAACACTTTTGCCGTTCGCATTTTTCTCGGCTGAAGCTAGCGGCGGCGTAGTCATAGCCGTTTATGGATACACAAAAATTGCCAACACCGGTGTTGTTTTATCTTTATTGTTTTTTTTTTTTGTTTGTTCGTTGCCGTGGTTTTTGTTTTCTGTTTATTCTCATTGTTTGGTTTATTCGTTAACGAATTGTTATTGCAGCAGCAATCATTTATGTATGTTAAAACTTAACAGTGCTGTCAGCGTAAGCAGCGCAAAAATACACAACGGTTTTTAACGAGTTAGCTGCGCTGCAGCGCTGTAAGCTTTACAGATAAACGCACGTCGTAGCGGGGAATGTTAACGTCTTATTTCCGAGGTTTTTTTTGTAATTAAATACATATGTACATACAATTAAATAATTGTTTTTATGAAAACACATGTATTAGCTTACCTTGCTCTTGCTGGTTAACCATTTGAAGACATTCAGTTATAGTAGAAATTAGGTAGGTATGTACATACATATGTGTGTGTATATGGTTTTGTTTGTTTTGCAAAAATATTTAACACTCACAAAGCCTATATTAATAAACTCGCTTTTGCAAGACTATCCGTTTCACAAGTTAGCAAAATATAATAAGCGCAACACACACACATTAGTTGACAGACACTTTTTAATTTGTTTGTGCGCACTCTTTTGTTTAAATTCTTTAAAAGAATTTATTTTAATTGCACACGCGAAATTCTCCGCCTGTTCAACTGAGCCACCGATTCGTATGAGAAAACTTAAAAGAAATCTTGCACCTTCTCTCTCATATGTATAAATTCTCTGTAAATTGATTTTGTTTGAGAACAAGCTGCGCAAACATGTTGCCGGCATTTTGATGTTTTTGTTTCCAAAACATGTTGCGTTGGTATTTTAAGCATTTTTGCAGTTTTTGTGCCGGAAGGGAGGAAGCACAATATTTTAATGAAAAGCAAAAATTCGGGAGTAGTAAACAGATTTGCTATAAATTTCGTAAGAAAATAATACAACTATTTTTAGTGCAAATGTCTGCATCTACTTTTATAAAAAGAATCAGTGAAACGGATTCGGCCAATATATGTATGTACATATGCAATAACAACAAAGACCGAATTGGTTGTTTTCAGCCAGTAAGTAATTTTCTGAGACTTTAAAAAACTGTTCTAATAGTGCCTTTTATTTTTGAAAGAATTGCCCAAAAGAAGAAAACGTGTATGTATGCAAGTACATTAGTGTGAAATCATACAATTAATTATATTTTAAGACTTCCACCAAGATTTTTCAGAAAAATGTTAAGATTTATGTACGTGAGTCTATGGTGGTTTTTGAAAAAAAAAAATCTTTTTAAGAGAAAATTTTATTTATAAGATGAATAGGAAGTATTTTCAATAGGGTCCAGCTCGTGTATGTAAGTCTGAAAATTTTTCTGAAATATTTTGGCGGAATTCTTAAAATAAAATAAATTGTATAATACCTCTAGAAAAAAGTACCGAATTTAATCTGTTTGAGGAGTGATGCGCTCTAATTTACATAGAGACATAAAAATTGGATTTCTAGCATTTAATTTTATGCCATAGCCTCAAAAATTTGGGTTTGACTTCCTGGCCTTTTTTGAATTAAAATATTAATATTAAAATTCGAACCGAAACTATAAAAATAAGTACCTAAGCTTACTAAAAAGCTTTAATATTTCTTAAACTACTATTTGCCGTTGAAGTATTACAACAGCAGTGAAAAGTAGTATTTTTTGTTTTTTTAATTACTTTCTTAGCTTTTTGAAAAGTTATACTTAGAAATTTGCTTTAAACCGTATTTTTTCAAATTGATTTGCTGGCGTACTGTTTACTTGTGTACTGTGATGTAGAAAATAATAAAGTTTTAAAATTTTTCTTATGCTAAACTGAACCTTTTTTTTACATGTATTGAAGTTATGTAGCTGTTATTGGCTTGATTGATGATTTAAAAAGTTATTTATAGAAAGTCGGTTTTGCAGAACTTATCGAGTTTTTAAGCACTTCTTTTTAACTTCAATTCTTTTAGCGTTTGCAACCATTTTTAAAAATTAAAAAAAAAAATTTATCTTCGCTTTTTGTGATCATCTGGTCACACATATGTAGCTAAAAAAAACCTCGCGAAAAACGGCTTTAAAAATGTGAATTTATATATCGCCGAATCAGGCGAAAAGTCGACCTCGTAAAAAAAACGATCCGCGGCAATAACGACACAATTCAAAATTGAAAAACCCCTAAATTTTTTGGAATTTTGAATTGTGCCGTTATTGCAGGGGAGGGGTAATGTACTGCAGTAGAATTTCTCTACTGAGGTTGCGTTGATATCCATAATTGACCCTCGGTCAAATGTCTCCAAAATTTTTTGCTTATTAGCATCTATCGCTAAAGATAGTATTATATATTTGTTGTGTAAAAACTACTATTTGCGAGACATTTGTTCTTGTGGTGGTGAACGCTGGTACCCTCAGTTTAACTACCAAAAAATCATTTTAAATATTTCGCCAATAAAACCTGTGAGAAATGCGAAAAGTGCGGTTTGTGCCCGGGATGAGTCGTAGGATCATAAGATTCTATTATATATACATATGTATGTCCTAGTTATATCCGACAAAAAAAATGTCCCTTTTCTACCCAAATGGGTACGAAAAAAACTAACAAATATTTATCGCCCAATAAGGTTCATTGCTTGAGCATAATCTATTAAGAGAATAATTGAACTTATTGCAGGGAAAATATTTTCATTAATCCTTCTGATGTGAACAAAATTATTCACCACAAATTTTCATACTTCAATTCGTTTTTGAACATTTTATTTACTTTTATGCTCAAAATCATCAGCCAAAAATTATTATACAACTAAGTAATCTGTTAAAATTCTATAGAACAAGCCATATACATATAATTCTATAATGACCGGGTACTTAGAACTTTCTAGTAATTATAAGTAAGCGGATGTACTGGGAAGTATCCTTTACTCCGAATCACTTGCTTAGCTAAACGTTGCAAATTGCTATCGTTATTTACGTATTGTCCATTGAATATTTCGGTGCAAAGAGTGCGCACCTTATCTTGCCCGTGCGAGCACACTGCCGAAGCAAGTACCAATTCATAGTCCGCCAATTGCAAACCAATGCAGTAGGAGCGTGAAGCGCGCGCTATACTTGCAAACATTGCATAAATTGTAGACGCAATATCCGCCACACGTTGCATATCGTGGTGCTTCTCCACTACCTCGGAGCCATAGCGCGTGAGCAGCAGTTCAACACACATCTGAAGACGAGCCACTGAGTGCTCAATACATTGTGCAGCGGGCTCTAACGTTGGATGCACACTTTCGTTTAACCGCATTTTAGTCTTTGGATTATCTATATTGGAGTTTTGTAAGAATTTCCTAAATATGTGGCCGGGATGTAACAATGGGTTGCGTTGCATGCGCACTGTGTCGGAGAGAAGTGTCTGTGAAAAGTGGATGTAAATTTAACAACTACTAGGATTTAGAGCATTTGAAAATATTAAACTTACACCCGCGTGTTGTAAGCCGATGAGCGCGATAAATAAGCGCAAAGTATCCATTGATTCGCCTTGCGTGTAGAGCTGCGCAGCATCGCGGAATAACACTTCGGTTGCCTGGCCGGAAAGTAGTGATTTAGGTCCAATAATATCCATGCTTTTGGAGGCAATTTTAAACAGTTGCGTCAGGCTGAAATACTACAAATGCATGGTTTTTAATAATACCCTAAATTATTTTATTTAAAGTAACCCACTTTCGTAATTGCCGTTTCCAGCGCTACATCGGGTGACGCAAATTCGTCCAATATGCCAGCAGTCATATATATCATGCTTTCAATGGCATATGTGACACATGAAGCTTTCGACAAATGCATTTGCAACATTTCCATATCCCTTAAAAATATAAGTTAAACAAGTAATTTTTAAGCTATAAAAACAACCGACTTCAATTCTCATATAAAAATTAGGGAATACCGTTAACTTCTTCATGATCCAGTGATCGGATCTTAAACAATTTAGTGTGGGAAGTACCACCTTTCCGATAAGAAAAATACAAATTATCCAAAATCGTTTCAGGTGGGCCAAAGTTAGCGCCAACATTAATAAAAAAAAAAATCCGACGATTGAAGTCGATTAATTACTTGGAGGCTAACCGTATATTTAATTAGTTTTTACTTACTTGAGTGACACATTGCATTGCGTGTTTTCGATGCAGTACGTAGTTAAATCATTGACTAACTGCTTGGCCATACACAGTCCCAAGTGCGCATTCCGCAATCGGCTGCTTCGGAGTATTACTTCCGCAACTAGGTTTCCCTCATTCGCCGCGCCTAGCACACTACTAGGCGTCAGGATTACTTGATCAAACTCTACCCGGCGTGTTTGCAAACCTCTGAAACCGATCGTCAAATGTTGTTCGCCCAATTTAACACCTGGAGTGCTACCGTCTACCAAGAAAATAGTTGTACCGCGCCCTGCATCACCTTTGACGCTCAGGCGACGAGTTTGCGCGATGACTAGAAAGAGTGGTGTTGCATCAGTGGTAGCGAAAGGTCCGGTTACTGCATATGCTTTTTGGCCTGACAAACACCACTCGTTAGATTCGGGATGATGTTCGGCGCGTGTGTTAAACAGGTCGGTTTCCGATACATCGTATTCAAATATTGCTTCAACGCCAACGTGTGAACCTGAAATTAATGTTTAGATATGAGAAATTCGGTAAAAACAATTTTTGCTACCAATTAAGCGTTTAAACTCTTACCGTTCACCAATTTTGGTAAGAAACGCTGCTGCTGTTCATTGCTGCCAAGCTCTTTTAATACATCGATTATAACTCGATGTGATAGCAAACCAAGTGCAACATTGGCACAATTGGACTCGGGTTCCGTAGTCATTAAGCTGGCTGTCCAACCCAAGCCTTTGCCTTCAAAATCCGCTGGCACATTAATACCATACAATCCCAACTGCCGCACACTCTCTACCGCTTCAGCGGGTATTTGGCGTGTGCGGTCAATTATAACATTGTTTACTTCATCTGTGAAGAAGTTCTTAAGCGGCAACTTTTCATTCTCAATACGAGTCATTTCTTCACGTTGAATAACCTCCGGATAGCCAAGCATTTCCTTGTCCACCACACCAACAAAAAAATTCTTCACCAGTGGCAAGCGTGAGCGTAATTTGCCTGCAGCTGGTGCAACCTTAATACCTGCGCCAGTGCTTCGGTTTTGGTCGACGGCATCTGTATCTACAGCCGAATTATCACCGCTGATCTTTGCTGAGGATTGACTGTCACGTCCAGAGCTAGTGCTGGTGGCACGTAAATTTTTTCCATTCAAATGTTCCAAGTTTTTACCATAATTTTGTTGCACAATTCGATGCAGTGTGGGGCGGAGACGTAACATTTTGAGCACAATCTTGAAGAAATATCCGGCTGTAGAGCAAATGACAGTACATACGCTAATGACAATCAGCTGATTTATGACTACTGCAGAGGTCGTAAAACTGTTGTATGAAAGGAATTTAATTTTGGTCCCTAACCAGTGTTGCCGTGCGAGTTGACGATTTTGTCGTCATTTTGAAGACTGTTACTGCCATAACGATTTTACGATTTTTGTGGTGGTTACACAGACTACTAAAAATTTCACTGTAAACACCTCTTGAGAGTTTACCATTTCTACTAATACATAATTGTCGTATGGAAATTATATATGTGGCAGCTCTAATAGTAGTTATCGCTAAGTAGTTTTATTCTTTGTCTCATCACTATTTGTGTGGTTTTTGTCGGTCAAATGCGTAATTTTGGCGTTGAGACGTTGGGTACTGGTGAGTTCTTTAGCAAAGCTTGTAAGTATATGGCCATTTTACGTGGTTGGCATCACTGGTCCCAAATCGCACTTCAAAGCGATGTGCAGTCGAAAGCGATAAGCGATAAAGTATCGACTGGCGTAGTGCGTTCGAGTTCATATGCTTGTGAAGATTAAAGTAATCGGTGCTAGCCATATGAAATTTGGGAATGGTGCCATTGGTGAAGGTAGTAGCAACCAAAATGTATTCAACAAAGTGTGATTGAATTTGACATTGCCGTCCGTCCTATAAAGTCAAATTAAAAAAAAAATTGTATGAATTTTGAATCGCTTGTTTATATTTTTTGGCTTAACAGTACCTTAAACGAGGGCCTACCTGAGTTATGAATCATACCTTTTTAATATACCTTGGTAGCAACTACATTTTTCTTATTTTTTTGTTTAAATCGCAGTTTATTTCCCCGGACTATTTAGCTTTTGTTGAATAAATATTTTCGGATTTTACTTTTTATGAAAAAGCGTTTTTATCTTACTAACTTTTGTTTCCGAAAAATCCAGGCCCGTTTGAAAGTCAGGGGCTTGGAGAAAACACCCGTTCCGAGAACAGACAAAAGTAACACAAAATTATTTTCAGTTGAGCAACAAAGCATCAGGAGAGCAACAAGGCTGCAATTTTGCGATAATTATTAGGTAGCTCGATTGCACACGTTTTTATTTCGATCTTCAAACCAAGGCAGTTAAAACCAATAATCGAGCGCAGAATTAAAAGGCTTTTTTAAGCCGCTGGAATTGTTGCAATTATTATATCTCTTTTTCTAAATAACAAACAAATGGATTTTCATTGAAATTATTTATTTTGTAATTATTTAGTCACATTGTAATGTATTTTTTGCACCTTTAAGGTAGCCTTTAAATTTTGATAGTTATTTGATTCTTTATCCAACTGCTATATTCTTCAAACGCTTGTACCTTGAATCGAATCCCCTTGAAATGTAAAAAACCGACTTTTTTAAGACATCATTGAAATTTCCTGCTGTAATTCATTTTAGTCTCGTTTTATCCATATAATCTCTGTACACAACAGCACCCACTAATGCCGCACCACGTCCCGAACCATCTTCGGAAAGCATAATATCATATCTATAGTCCTTTTCAACGAATTTGTCCAACGTTTCACGCATGTAGCCATCCAGGTTCGGATGACAGCGATAAACAGAACCATCTACGCCTATGATGGAGAAGCTTTCGCCCACTTTGTTTACTAAAGCGCCCAGCGTTACGCCCAGCATGTTGCCACAACGTTTCACAACAACATCGCAAATATATTTGAATTTCATACAATCTTTAGGATCTGGATCTTTCAAATTGAAGACTTGTTTAAAAACATTCTTTACGACTGGCCAATCATCACCTTTGTCGTTGGCAACTTCAGATAGAACCTTGGATTCGATGCAATGTGGCCTTTTCGTCAAGATATCGGTGATATGTTTGCGAAGTTTACACTGAGAGAAAACCAAGTTCTCTTTAACGGCGCGCATCATAATCAAACGCACCAATTCGCCCAGGTACATGCCTGAAAATAGTATAAACGAAAGAAATAAGGGTCTGTGATTTCCAAACCGCTCATCGACTAATCTTACGGAACTATCTTACGGAACTCAACAAGAGAGAGCGAAAAAATTGGTTTTCTTTGAAGGCATTGTATTGTTAGGCGATATTTTCTCTAGCTGTTATTTTACAAATCTGTTGTTTTAATAACGATTTTATGATTTTTATGCATAAATATCAATGCCTGGAGTGCAAGGGTTACCAAATCTCCTTTTTGCTACCATGGCGATTTAGGCGGTTTTGCAACTGGTCGATGGGCGGTTTTGCAAAAACATCGGGGATTTATACTAAAAAACGTGCTCTACAGCAGCGCACTTCAGTTTCTCTCTATGATTTCTTGAACCGCCTTAAAATAGGTCCCTATTTTAACATTTTGTGTCTGCCATCTTCATTGTGATATTGTTATCGATATAGTTATCCTTACAGTTACTTTTATATTTACCGATAATCTTCCCTTACCACCATCCTTATTTTTACCGTTATCAAAAATTTAATTGTTAAGGCGCTATTATGCATGAGCCAGCAGTAGTTTGGGCGACTTCAACATCTAACCAAACAATCGACTACAAAAGAGCAGAACAAGACCTTTGTACACACAAAAGCCGTACTTTTACGACATAGTACCACATTTGATTAACCTGGCATCGTAAGGTCATTAATCCCTGCCAAACAACAGAACCGTCGTGAAGGTTCTAAAAGTTCGCAAAAAAAGGCGCTATTACTCAACGACGTAGCGTAAACGTACGTAGCAACATATAATCCGGATATCCGGTTAATATCTGTTCATTTTGTTATCGGTCATGCGGATTTTTTAATCAGAAATTCGATTATGCGGATATTTAAAAAATCCGGATACAAGACCCATTCCTAATGTTTACATATGTATGTATGTCCCAAGCCTTCCTGCACCTTACTCACCTGCTACCATTTTTTCGTAAATCTGTGCGCCAGGATTCAGCGAATTTTTATCGACAACCCTATCGTACTCGGTATACAAATGATCAAGGCCTCCTTTCTCGCCGAATGCGCCCCACTCAACATTTATAATGATTTTCGGTTTATCCTTGTATTTCGCATCTAAACGCTCACAATTTTCCACCTTTTCCGTATAGCAGGCATTACAACCAGTTCCAACAATCAAACCTATATTACAACCAGGATTGCGATGGGCGCAAGACATTTGTGTACCAGTAGTGTCATTCAATATGGCGACCATATCAATTTTTAGCCCGACTCGCCTTGAAATAGCCGCCTTCAACATTGCGCCCACATCCTTTCCCACTGTATCGGAGCAATTGAATCCCTTTGTCCAACGCACCAATGTTGCCTTGCTCAAGCCAGTCTGTACGCAAGGAAATGAAAATGTGAAACCCAATGGCAGATTTTCGTTTTCCAATTTGAGCTCACAAACGAATTCATGCAAACATTTGGCAATGTAATCAAAAAGATGTGGACCAGTTCCAAGTAATTCCCTTTCGGTCAATTGATAAATCTTTGAAACTTGGTCCGCTTCGTGATCTCCCTTCAGTGTGACGAGCAGTACGCGGAAATTGGAGCCACCCAAATCGAGGGCTAGATAATTACCCGTTTCATTGCCATTGGGGAAATCCTGTACGTATGTTAGGTAGCATTTTGTGCTCGCATCCTTGTTTGTCTTTGCGCCCAGACCTTTGCGTATCTGTGTGCAAAAGTTTTGATATAAACGTTGAAATTGATCTTCGCTGGGTATAAGCTCAGTAAGGAATTCACGCAAACGTGCTATTTCGCTGGATTCACTCATTGTTGTTATTGTTTTGACTCCAAGCCACGTCTTTTAGAAGATTAAAAGTGCTTATATTTTGATGTTTGAATGCTCTTGTTGGATTCACGATGAAATAAACCCCAAATTTTGAAACGTTTAATAGAAAAAAAGAGAGCCTAAATTGTGGTCAACATGCGAAAATTTGTTGCCAATTTTTTTTTATGTAAAGATGAGTATTTAATTTTGCAAAATGTGAGGAATTTTGAAGTTTTTTATGATTAAAAGTTTGAGAACTGCTTGGTTATTTGGAAAAGACTCTAAAAGATTAGACAAGTAGAGAGGGTGTGGAGGAAAAAGTTTAGAACTTC